CTGGTTTCATTTTGGGAATGGATCAGATAGGGTTGTTTCTACATCTGGGTTGACTACCGCCGTATTTGTGACGGGCTCTAGAGGAGGATGCTTTTAACATGCAGAACAAAACCTTGGATTCGCTTGCTTTTAGGACCCCTTATACAGGTGGGGATTTACCGGCTGGGTTTCCACAGACATAATGCTAGTTTACTCACTGCACGTCTAAGTGCCTTATTGGCTTGGCTTCTTGTGTTATTTGAGTGGTCCCTGGGTGTAGGAAACTGGTGATAGGTTTTGTACTTTTGCTGTTTATGCCGTTCCTGGAAAACAAAGTGTGCTTTTCATGCTTGAGTAAACACATTGATGTATTATGAAACTGTCAGACTCAGAACAATTGGCATACACTCAGTTATTCAAATACACAACTCTTTAGAATGGCCTTTGTGTTAGCTAGTGCTTTCGTACTGCTAGCTTAAAGAAATTTCAGTTCCTTCCCTTAATAAATTAAATCTCAGCCTTATGATTAATGAAGTCCAAAGGCCAGGTGCCATGGGGCATAGGTGTGATCCCAGCACTCAGGAGGCTGAGACGGGAGGATCACGAGTTTGAGGTCAGTCTGGGCTACATAGTGACTTCCAGGCCAGCCTGGACTACATAACCAGATGCTGTCATAAAATGAGAGAGAGAGAGAGAGAGGGAGAGAAGAAATCCAAAGGGTTACTCCTTTTGTTGAATACTTTCTTCATTATCACATACAGCTAATTAGTAGCAATTATTTCTGCACATTCATAGTTCATTTTATTTTAAAATATCTTTTTTATTTAAAAAAATTGAAAAGTTGTTCATGCAGTATCCTTGTCAACTAACGTAAGTGTCCCCACTCCTCTCTGGGTGCTCCCTTCCTGTCAATCAAGATGCTCCCATGGCTTTTTTTTTATAGTGTATCTGAAATCGTTTTCTTTTAAAATTATGTCTGCGTTGTGGATCTTTTTCAAGCTCTGGGGTCTTTATAATAGTCTTTATTATTTGCATAACGTTGAATTATTTAACAGTAGGGTAAAACATTTTCCTTATTTTTAAAGTGTTTTTTTTTTTGTTTTGTTTTGTTTAGTACTGGAATTTGAAGTCAGGGCCCCCTGCGGGCTAAGCGAGGGCTTTGCCACTTGAGCCGTGTACGCTGCCTAACTGCTCTTAGTTGTTTTAAGATGGGGTCTCTTGCTGACTTTGCCCAGACTGGCCTCAGACTATAATCTTAGCTGCACTTCCCGAGAAGCTGGAGTTACATGTGTGCCACCACACTGGGCATTTGAAACATGTTTTCTAGGTTTTTTATTATTTATTATTATTGTTGTGCTGGGTGGGGGTGCATTGTGGCATTTATGAAAGTTCTTAAAAATGTATCAAATAGATCATACTTGAATTCACCCTCTCCAGCATTCTCCTTTATTCTCTCTCCCCCCATTCCTGGAGTAATTTCAACAGGTCTCATTTTTGTGTTTACCTACATGCGTACACAATTTTGCATGGTATTCACCCTCCTACCCCTGCCACCTCTCCCTCCCATTTGTACCACCCCCTGGACTTGTTCCACCCTCCTGTTCACTGATTTTGTAGAAGAAAGAAGAAAAAAAATGACATTTTTTCTTGTTTAAGATAGCTACACAGGGAGTTTCTTTGTGACATTTCCATGTATATATGTATCATAACCCAAATTGGTTTATTTCCTCTATTTTTCTTCATTCTACCTTAGTGCCTTTGTCATAGTGGTTTCAGATGGTTTAAAAATTCTGTACTCATTCTTGTATAGAGAGTACATCAGCTATTCACCTTCTTAGTTTCTTTCTTTTACCCTCCCCTTCTCATATGTGACCTCCCCTTAGTGCGACCTGTTTTTCATAATATTGCTGTATTTGTATTAGGTCTGTATTCCACATATGAGAGAAGACCTGCAGCCTTTGGCTTTCTGAACCTGGCTAACGTAAGATGATGTTCTCCAGTTCCATTCATTTACCTGCAAATGACAAAATTTCATTCTTCTTTGTGACTGAATAAAATTCCACTGTATATAAATACCACATTTTCTTTTCTTTTTTTTAAAATTGTTGTGCTGGGTGGGGGTACATTGTGGCATTTCCACATTTACTTAATAGTTCTTTTTTTTTTTAAACAGATGATGATACAAAGATACATTTGTGTCTTGTAGCTTGTTTTTCTTATTTTGTTATATTATGAGAACCCATGCCCAGAAGTATGTAAGTGGATTTGAAAACGTTATCTTTTATGTATTGGTCAATTGCTTTATAAAAGATGATTGTATGATCATCTTGTATGATTATTTAAATATCAACTCCTTTTACCAATGAAAAGGACAAGAAACCTATGAAATATTCACATTTACAAAGTTGACTTTTGGAGCATCCTATAATCTTAGTAGTGACTTTTTCCTTTCTAAGTTCAGCTTCTATTTTTAGCAAAGTAATGTGTGCAAATAGTCTGACCTGTCCACTAAGCAGTGTAGTGTGGCAGTGAAGAGCTTCTTCTCTTGCATTCTCCTCCCCCGTTCCTGGCTATTGCTGGATGTTGAGAGCACCCAGCTGTGGTGATTTCTGTTGCTTCCCTATGACTAATGGCTTGCTTGGTCAGCTGGACGTTTTTCCCACATCATAGCTATCTATTGATTGTCTTTTGTGGAAGATGAAGCTTCAGCTCGTAGTGGTTTTTTTTTAAATCATCTTTCCAATATTGGCATAGATACGGTATAATTTTATGAGTATTTATAACCAAATCTTACATTATAATTTTATTTTATTATCCTTTATATATTTCCCAGAATTAATAATCATATCCCATTGTGCTAGCTTTGTTTTCTCTTCCTGTGTCTCATTTGTCATTAAACATTCTGACAGAGTTGTAATTCTCTTCTTGATAACACATGGGAGAATCCTTCCGATGTGTCTTTGTTTTTTTGTTCTCAAAGCTCCCAGAGGAGCTTATGCATTTTAATCCAGTGTGGACAGGTTGCTCTGTGAGTCTGCTGCTCAGTTGACATTTTGGAAGTCACTTCTTGATTTTTGTCCTGGAAATTTCTTTTATCTTTCTGGATTTTGTTGATTCTGTTTCATGGATTAATGTCTTTCCTTTAAATTTGCATCCATATTTTGATGGGTTCCTGAGAAAGATGCAGGGAAGAGAAATTTTTTGAGATCATGCATGTCTGTAAATGCCTTTACTCTGTCACATACTTGACAGGTGGCATGACTGGATGTGCAGTTTTAGCTTGGGGACGATGATTTCTTAGGATCTGGAAGGCATTGTTTCCTTGCCTTTCCACTGTCAAGTTTGAATCTAGGGCCATTCTGGTACCCAGTTCTTTGTTGTGGCCTTTTCCCTCATTTTCCCTGCCTCCCAGAACTTTTAGTGTGCTCTTATTTTGGGAATCCTGATATTTTATAGCATTCCTTGCTTTTTCCTTTTCATTCATTTATTGTCCAGATAGTATGCCCTTTTGAACCAGAAGAGTGTTCTCTCCTGGAACTACGTATTACATGAACGTAGTGCCCTGTGGACTGAGTCTGTTGTTTTCCTGCGTGTTTCCACATTTCATTGTTCTAGGAGGTTCTATTAACTGTACTTCTTTAACCGCGCTCATTTTAGTCTCTGGTTGATACTACAATACTTTTTAATTGCAAAGAACTTATTTGTAATTCTTCAAGCATACTGCTTCATCTCTGATTTTGCTCAGGATGTCATTTTTAGTTGATGAAGTTTTCCTCTGCTCCCTGCAGCATGTTTGTGTTCTCTCTCTCTCTCTCTCTCTCTCCCCTCCATGCTCTGTCTTACCTATCTATTATGGGCTATCCTCAAGTGTCCAGAGAATCTTGGCTCTGTATGTTAGAGATCAGGGCAGTGGGAGCACTGAGCAGGCTTGGACGTTCTGCTGTGTGTGGGATTCATCACCTGGAGCTCCTCTGTACAATAATTGGTGTCTGTGGTCTGTGCCCATGTGTGGGGGCCTGTGGTAGGCAGAGGAGAGGGCAAACCTCACTGATCAGGCTTTGACTGGTCCTCTGATTTTAGTAGGGTTACCTTACCCTTACCCTTGGCTGGGCTTGGAGTTAATTCTTCTAGAGAGGAAGTTCCCAGTTTCTTGTCTGGCTATGAATATGAGAACATGAGAATATTCTCAATTCATATTGTCAATTCATATTGTCTGGAATGAGAATATGAGAATCTAACTTTTTTTTTTTAATGGGAATTTTCAACCAGTTCTCCTTCCTCGAGAGGTACTTGGACCTACTTTCTTGTTGGCTGCTTACCTTATAAGATTAAGTTTCAGGTTTGTTTTGATTTTTAAAGTAGTTACCATTCATCCACCTGTTTTCTAGCTTTAAGAATTTTGCCACATATCCTGTTTCTTCTTGCCCCTTCTCCTTTTTAATTGTCTTTATGGTTATTCCATATTTTTATGTTTATGTCTGCCTTTATATAAATTAATACAGTTTAAGTGATACAGGAAAAAATAGCCATGCTCTCAGTCTGCCATGTTGGTGGAAGTGTCCAATGAAGACTGTTTGGATTTGGGTCAAAAATACTGTTTTTACCTGCACACATTTGTGGACTGTTCATTATATTTTCTTATGTACAAAAATTTCTTTTTAAAATATTTTATTTTTTCATGCTTATTATTTAACTTTGCAGGTTTGACATCCAGCTCTGTAAGTAGAAGATGTGACCATCTACTGGTTAGATGTGACCATCACTCAGTTGCTCATTAATTTTTGCAAACTTTTTGTTGAAATAATTGTACATTGATAGGAAGTTGCAGAGAGAGTCCTGAGAGGTCCTTTGTACCCAGTTTATGTCAGTGATACAACTATCACGTGACTACAGTATACTACCAAAATCAGGAATTTTACATTGGTGCAATCTGCTTTAATTTTAAATGACATACTGTTTCAAATTTTCTATTAGCCACTGCAAATATATTTGACACCTTTTTAAACTATTTTGTCTTTCAGCAATTTTTCCAGCTAGTCAAATTACGAAAGCTTGGACTTAGTGATAATGAAATTCAGCGGCTCCCTCCAGAAATAGCCAACTTCATGCAGCTGGTGGAACTTGACGTGTCTCGAAATGGTAAGAGGAGATTTCTGCTTGGATTGACCATTTGTCTCTTCTCATACTGGAGCATTTTTAGTAGCAGTATAAATGTCATTAGAGATGCTTTTCCTGGTAGTTCTGAGAAAGTGAGATATATATATATATATATATATATATGTATATTATATATATATACTTTTTGTGGAAATTGATGACATGGTAAACAGTTCAATCAACTTTTAAGTATTTACCTATTTTTTGTGACATAAGTTTTAACATAGGTTCAGACTGACTCCTGTATTAGAGAGTTCAGCTTGCTCATTTTTCTGAATATGACATTGCAGTTCGGTGGCCGATGCTTGGGTTGCCGGTGAAGGTGGGAAAGTCTGCTCTGGTGAGGGATTGGTTTCTCCTGACTCTGGCTCGGTGACTTACTGTGTTCTACTTGCTCTGAGCTGACCTGCCTTTTGTTCAGGCATCTTCTGTTATTTCTAGTAAGGCTGATGGTGGTTCTGACCACTTGGGTTTGCGTGGTTTATTCTTGAGTTTATTTTGATTTGCAGATTTTGCTATTATACCACTTCTTTTTATTGAACATTCAGTAGGATATTTATATACAAACCTGTCACTTTCAGTTGGATATCCTGGTTGAAATCTGGTGTTTTATACCCCCTAGAGCTCACCATAAGTAGGCCTGTGTCTTTACTTCTCGTAGTATATGTGACTGGTGAAGTCAAAGGGGCAGCTCCCAGTATCCTCTCTGGGATAGAATTCAGTTCTTGTAAGGTCCTTGGTAATTCCCTCAGGATGGGCCCAAATGTAGTTGGAATTATTTACACAGGGATAATTCTTGGATTTCTCTCGCATTACATGTCCCTTTTGTTTTGCTCATTTTCTGAACATGACACCGGGGCCAATGGCCAATGCTTGGGTGCCAGTGAAGGTGGGTAAGTCCGTCCTAGGGAAAGGGTGTTCTTCTGGCTCTCAGTGGCTTACGTGTTCTACCTGTTTTAGCAAAAATCTGTTTATGGTTTGCTTTTGCTTTCCTACAAAAATCTGTTAGCTTCTTTTCCATGAGCCCTAGGTCTATATATTTCAATCCATTGTCCTCAATAGAAACCCCAGGGCCCACATACAGCATTCTTCTGTGGGTCATTGTAATAGCATGGCAGTGCTATTCAGCACTTGACTGAATACTTGGCAAAGAAAAATGACCCCTCCTCCCTTTTAGTGGCTTTTAAATTGCTGTCATGTATCCGATCCCATAAACTGGGAATAATCTTTTGGCCAAGCCATGTATTATTGACACAGCACTTAATTTTGCTTTGCACAAAAATTATTTCTTACTTTGAAGATACTGGAAATAAATAAATTCAGACACCTCACTTTTTTAGTTTGTTTTATAGTGGCTTATTGGGTTACAGATCCCAAGATCAGTTTCGGTAAAAGTGGATTTGATGGTCAGGACACTAGTAGAACTGATGTTCCAACAGCACAGGCATCAAGCTGCATCTGACACCTTCTTGGGGTTTGTGGCCTCTGCCTTGCACTACATCTGCTTCTGTTGTGGATACTCTGTCTGTCCGTGGTGACCTGCTCTCTTGGAACTGGCTTGCACTGGCCTCTCAAGATTCAAGACCCAGTCTTTCCTTTTTTGGCTTCTGACCTTGCTGTGGTATCTGTTTGCTAATCACATGTCCTGAGTGAAGAATGGTTGACCCAGCCTATCTTCTTATGCCGACTGTAACACAGGCTACACGTCACTGGCCACCCTATGGACTGGCGCCCTGGGAGGGGAGTGTGAGAAGCAGCACACAGTGCTGCCCTGCCCATTGGCATGGCACCAAAGCTGTCACTGAGCAGCTCTGCTTTCAGGGGAGTTGGGTGGGGGAGATATTGAGGCCTGGCCAGAAGTACTGCTGAGACCTGTAGAGTAGCTGTCTCCTGGAGACGTGATGGACACGCCTCTTTTGCCTCAGCAGTGACCTGAGTTATAAAGAATGACTGCAGCACAGCAGTGACTTTGGAAAATGGTCACAAACTCTGAAGAAATAAAAATAGCAGATTTGAAATTGGCATTAGAAAGGAAAATAAGCAGGGGTGCAAAACCCTTGACAGAGAGGAGAAGCTCTCTATCCCTATGGGGATGCCTTTCGGGAAGTAGGCAGTGTCTCAGTGCTCTCATGTCAGCCCTCCCTTTTCAGACATTCATAGCGAAGAAGGGGTACATTCCTCTTCCCATGTGTCCGTTTTCACCTTCTAGCAGCTTTACTGAAGTCATTGTCAGCACACAGGGGTGTCTTCTCTCCTTGGAATCCCTACCCTGTGCACTCAATTCCTCATTTCTCACTTCTCTTCTGCAAGTGTTGTGTTTTGTAGAGGACTCCGCATGTCTTCCCCTTTTTGTCAGGCTCTTTTAGAAATGCTGCAGGGATTAAACTGTTTTCTATTGGCAGAGCTTCGCCCTGGCTTTCTGTGTGTGAGTGTGTATGCATGCACGAATGGGTGCATGTATTTGTGTGTGCATGTGTATAGATGTGTGCATGTATACATACATGGGTGTGTGCCTGTGTGTTTATGTGTGCATGTTAATGGCTGTGTTTCTCTATAGTACATGGGTACATATGTGTCTGCATGTATATATGTGAATGTGTGCCTATGGTAATGTATCATGTATGTGTGTATCGTGCATGTGTATGTGTAGGTATGTGTGTATGTAGGAAGCAGCATGGAGTATGGACAAAGTTGTAGAGAAACTGCACAGATGACAAAGCAGAAAAGGGAACTATTTACTATAATCAGTGGGAACAGGGGGTCTTGAGACATTTCCAGATCAGAAAATTCTCACTGTGCTTCCTTTCCCATTTTTTTTTTTGGAGGGGGGTGGACAGATGAAATCACATCAATGTGAATTTCCAAGTCAGCTGACTCAGTAAATAAAAGTCACAAAGCTGCAGCCTGAGAGGCAGGGTGACAACCCTGCTTTGAAAGGATCAGCGGCTGGCGTCTGAAGGCCTGACTGTCTGGCCCCTGGTCTTCTTGTGCTCCTGCTGAGGCTTCCTGCTCTCTGATCAGAGGGTGAGTCTTTGGGTCCTTATCCAGCCTTTGGGCTGTAGCAAGGCCATCACCAGGGCTATCACATCGCTTCTTAATGGGACTTTCATTGGCTTCCTCAGTTCCTGATTTTCTAAAAAGCAGTGCTTTGCTGTGGAGGAGGAGGCAGGGTGTTGTATCAGAACACTTGAGCACGGTAATTTTTGCTAGTCAAACTTGACCAGGCAGTTGATTACCTGGGAGTTCTGTTAAAGTGAAGTCTGATGTTACTGGCCTAGAGTAGGTGTCTTGCTGCCCCTGACCACACCAGTAGCAAGGTCTTAGACATCACTACCTATGGACATGTGCTCCCTTTCCCTGACTGCTTCATGTGGTTACGAGCCTGAGTTCACCCTGCCTCTGGCACCCTGTGTCTCCCCATGTGGAAGGAGAAGTCTTCAGGATATTCCTGGCTTCAGGGTAAGATGCTAAAGTTGACTTCAGGTCAAGTTTGCTTTGATTCTAGGAGAAAACTTTCATCTTTCCTGATATTTCCTAGCCTAAGTGAGGGAGCAAAGACAAGTTTTGTCTTTTTCTCCAAAAAAGTCTACAAATGAGGAGGAGAGAGGTTTTCACAGGCTTATTTCCTGGGCCAAGAAGAACTGCCAAAACTTCCAAACACTGACTTTTGTGGCTTTGTTTTGATATTTCGGGCACAAAGTCAAGGAAATTGTGTGCTGTGTAGAGAAGAGTAGAGAATTTTGGAGGGGGAGGGCAGTGCTTATGGGTTATCTAAGCTGTGAGGATTTTTTCTGAGGTAGTGATAGAGAGGTTGTCCCTAGAATTAGCTGAGGTCATCAGGGTTGGAGTCCTGGCTCTACCATTGGTGCTGGGTCGACTTTGCCTGGGCCTTGACCCTTCTGGGTTGTGTTTTATGAGGAAATCCTGCTTCTTGTATGAAACCAGTTAGTGTTGAGGCAAATGACACAGTATTCATGTCCTAACTTGGTGAGTTACTGTTGATTTCAAACAGACAAATGAGCAAAATATGTATGGGGAAAAGAAACTAGGTGTTTTCCCTAAACATGGATTGAAGAATGATTGGGGTTCAGTATATGAAGTTGGATCTGTATATGGTGTTTAAATTTCATCTACAATCTTGTACAGGCCTAGAATTACAGTCTGAAGCCATTTCCTATGGTGAAATACATATGGCTCAATGCTTGGACTTTGACTGCTCACTGGTTCTTAGCTGTTCAAGGAACATGGCCTCTGGTCTGTGAGAAAAGGTATTACTCCATAGTAGAATCTTGCTATCCAAGAATCTAGGGCAGACTTTCTTAATGCATCATGATTCCTGCCCCAAGGGTTAGCAATTTGAATTTTATAGTCTATGCTGTAATTTGACTTACATCACAGTACTGTATCATTATTCATTTAGTTTAGTTTCCCCCAAAGTATAAGGCATATACCACTGGCACTGCCAGAGATGATTTTTAGTGGTAGTACAAAACAGTAATTTTAATATTGAGTCATGGTGAGAAAGTTATCTTCCCCACCCCCCCATTTTATTCCTTGTGGGTTGCTTTCTGTAAAACTTTCTAACACTGTATATTACATTTGCATTCTATTTTTGGTGGTGATAATAACTTTGTATTCCTGTTAGTTATTTAAAACAATTTAAAAGAATGAGCCAAATAAGAAGGAATGTAGGAAGCTATAAACAATATAACAAAAACTGTGAAGCAGTGCTTAGTGTTAGCAGTCACACCAAAGAAGTCATGAGTTTGTTTCTCTTTTGGGGGAAATAGTACTGTATACAGAAAAACCATGGCTACAGATGGCATACCTTGGCTAATTATTTTGCAAACTGGAGTTAACAACTTACAAGTTGTTAGTTTTAGTACAGATCATTGCTAGCTCCAGGACAGCACTGCACAATAAGCAGACTGCCTACCCCTAGGGTCATCTGCTGTCTTCTAGAGCTTAGACCTTGATTTAAT